ACAGTGCCTCTAGGTTCCAAAAGGTAAAACTTCAAACTGGGTTGTTGAAGGGATTAGCCCTGTAGTGTGACGGCTTGTAAGCCGGTAATTGCCTGTAGCCTGCGCTGTCTAACGCAGGCTTAGCATGAAACAAGGAGGGCCTTATAAGTGGCAATAATAATACTGTAACACGTCCGGGGATGGGGCACGAGAATGTGATACGAGTAGGGGATATGAGTGGGGAATACGAGTAAGGAATACGGATATACAGATAGAAATCTGTGTCATTGGCTGGGATAATAATCATGTATAAAGTAACTGTTATTATCCTCTTCAATCTGTAGTTCACCATAGATTGAAATTAAAACTACCTCTGACCATAAGGTTGCCCAAGTGCCTATGCTTAGACTGTGACATGTAGGCACAGTTGGGCTAGCTCGTAATAGGTTAGTATGTCTCTCCTCCTTACCCTGCTCGCCATGAAGTATGGTCCAATCGTCTTCTTCTAATAATTGCTCAGTAAAACACATTTTCAACGACATTTTTGGCTGCCAAGCCCATACAGCCACTGAAACTTCTCACCACTATCAATTCATCCTCTATTCTAGCAAACAATGTCTCTCGAAAAGTCTGCTTCAGAAACTAAAGTTCGCAAGCATCTAACTTGCGATCAATGTATTGAAATAAGAGCATTAAGAAGACTTGGCTTGACACTTCAAAATATATCTGACAAACTTGGCTTCACAATAAGACAAGTACAACTTGCGTGTGCTCGAGAGACTGAGAATCCTATGTCTCGCAAGGGACCCTCACCAAAATTAAGCGCGGAACAAGTTGATGACCTTGAAGTATTTGTCCGGGAGTCTCCTGAAAATCGACAGATGTGCTATTTGGAACTAGCCATGGGGCCCTTCAGCCACTGGGGATGCAGTGAACGTCTAATTTCTAATGCACTCAAAAAAAGAGGTTACAGCAGATGCATTGCTCGGAAGAAGCCTCCGTTAAGCGCAGTGAACAAGCAGAAAAGATTGGAGTTCGCCCAATTACATTTAGATTGGAGCGATGAGCTATGGAGTCGCATATTATGGACTTATGAAACCTGGGTATCGGGTGATTGTCATATGAGACCTCGTGTCACAAGAAAAGTACGTTTAAATTCTATCTAAATCTTCCTTGTACTAACAGCAGAGTTTAGCCTGATGATGAGTTTGATGAGACTTGTGTTGTGGCTTGCCATACTCATGGGAACAGCTGGATGTTTTGGGGATCATTTTACGGATTACAAAAAGGCCCATTCCTAGTCTGGGAGTAGGATTGGGGATCAATGAGGTCCTCATCCTTTTGTGAAAGGATTTTGCCACTTTTGAATCAATTTCACATGGAAAATCCAGGAATTCTATACATGCACAACAACGCACCATGTCATAAAGCACACTCAACAACTAAGGCGCTACGTGAGGTTGGAATAACGTTTATGAGATGGCCACTTTAATCTCCGGACCTGAACCCAATTGAGTCACTATGGAACATCTTAAAAAACCACATTCAGGTAAATAGTCCAGAGAAAAATGGGGTCAGGCTTGTGCGCTCTGCCATGTTGAAGACATTGCTACAGGTCGCATAGGAGTCTATACCTTCTGACGAGCTATTGTTGCTAGTTGGCAGCATGCACGAAAGATGTGTAGCAGTGATAAAGGCAAATGGAGGGTACACAAAGTATTAGGATGGAGAAGACACACAAAACATGTAGTACGCTTTCATTTTAGTTGCGAGCCATACTGAGGGCTTCGATGTAGACTTTTGTAATACAGAGCAATAACTTTTGAAATAGATGTGCATTTTTAGAAAATATCAACTGACTTTTTTCAATTTTGAATTTCAACTGAGGACTATTGTACTTTTCCCATTGAGTTCAAAACCATCCCCATAATTTAGACTTTCACAGAATGTCATTGGATAGTACCCCTTGCTTGCATAACTAGTCGAGTAACTAGACATGGGCCTGCATGAAGACCATACCAATTAAGGCAATATGTACAGGGATCTAACCCCAGTCATTTGGACAATTTTACCTTTGCCACCCATAAGAGACTGTATGACTATGTAGGACATGCAGGTCCTCTCTGCCTACAGGCCAAGGATACCTATACCAGTAGTATAATCCCTCCTAGACCTCCCATACTGCTCCCCTCAAACGGTACCACCCCTTACAAGTCCTCATTTGATCATACACTTAGAGGAGCCCTTTGACCTTCATTATCTCCCCTCTCCAGTCAACGAAACAATGGCCATTTGCGGGTGTATGGCAGTTGCAATGAGGTTATTCAAGTGAGACCTGGCTACTACGTTTCTGCCCCATGTAGAGCTGTGCTCAGAATGCATGCATGTACCGCACAAATCAAAGGTCTGGGTGCTGCACTGCGTTGAGCTCCGCTTATATGTCGTAAGAAATGGACTAGACAATTAGCATTTCCAGTCCATTCCTGTACATGCTGCTTGAAGTTCAGCTGGGTATCAAGCCAGACTCCTAGCCATCAGATATGAGTTGACAGTTTGATCCGGCAATCTTTCACCTAGATGGAAAGATCAGCTGTGTTGATTTTCTTTCTAGGCCCTTCTCCGATCACTTTTTTTTTTGCATCAGATTTTAATTGGGTATGCAGCTATCTAGCTATGACACAGTTCTCCGATCACTAGACGTTCTGACTTTACTGGGTCAAAATTGATCCTGTGTTCTCTTGCGAGAAAGATAAAGCTATCGAGGTCGTCTTGTACTGCAGGGATGGCTTAAGCCGCAATCTTTCCAACTCTGATGATTGCCATATCATCAGCATAGCCAAACCTGCTCGTGAGACTATGGTCCTGAAATAGCAATGCGACATATAGCATAAAGAATTATGGCAATAGTGGCGAGCCCTGAGGTGCTCCACATTCCAGTATCTTTTCCTCGGTAGTTCTGCCGCTGTATTTGTCACAGTTCGAATATAGAAAGCGAATGGGCATTTGTATGATTGAAAGGTAAAGCTATAATTCATCTATGTAGAAGCAAACTACCTACAAGTCTCCTCTACTACTTATACACATCCAGAGGTATCTAAATCTAGCCTACGTTTACAGTGGCAATGAAACTGACGTAAGGTTTGTTCTGCCACACGGGTAACGCTTCTGATACTCTTGGCACTATCCTTTACGTAGCCTCAGTGGCGATCTCATATCAGTTTTTGTCTGCTGATAATCCTCGGAGTGATAGATAATATAGGTTGCCTTCAATAGCCATCAAAGGCTACAGGGCTTATCAGCTCACAAGCCGTCACAGTATTTTACCTTCAAATTTTGTTGGCAAAGAAAAGTTTGGATAAATAGGCACAGGGATAGTGGCCAGCCTTGTTCTCCAATATGTTTGTGCAGTCGGTTGTGAAGGACTGCATCAAATGCACCTTGAATGTCGAGTGTGACCATAGCCATCCTTGACTCAGAAAAAAAAAAAAAGACCATAGCCATATGTATCCAGGTCAGGTGATGCCCTGACATATAGTGGTTGTTTACTTAGGCAGACTTGCTTTAGCGTATTTGTATGATTAAGGAGCTTTTGGATAGGAAATTTAAAAACCAACTTACATCAGACTTAACGACTTACCAGGCATTCTGTGATACTATTTTTATTTATCTTTATCTAACGTCTGGCGGATCATTTTCTGTGATACTAATTACAGGCGTGCTTAGAGTCCCTAGTCTATTGTAAGACATAGATGCACAGCCACATACTCACCACTTCTCATGGCAGCCTGAGCATCATGGATTACACAAGATGCAAGGTTGGCTGCAGATTGTCCTGGTACGTGTTAGAGTATAGAGAAGACTTCGGAGTAAGAATTGCCTGAGAACAGAGAAGAAGTTCAGTTTGCTTAATTTACTAATAGACTACAGGTATTATGATATATACAGTGGAATTATAAGAAATAGAGGTTACCCGGAACCGACTCGGCTGCAGAAATAAGTGGGACCCCGTACCAGAAAATAGTTATCCACTGACTGAGAATACTGGGTCACGCAATAGAAGTACGAACAAACCAATGACTGGATTTGTTCGGGAAGAATGGGATTCAAGCAGACTCTAACGTTGAGTCCGATTGGATCAGAAGTGTGGGATCCTGCCCGAACTCAGAAATATAGCTCAGGCAAGATGCGTGCAACCACATTGGTCGATAGAAAGAAAAGCAGGAAACTGTATTTCCAACAGTACGGAACCAAATAATTATGGATGAACAACTCGGTGACTTATTGTCAGCCATGCCATTCTCTTACCAACTAGACGCTCAAGCCTTTTTGTTGTGATGGGCATGTTATACAGCTAGGATACTTGCATGTACATAACATGATTAGATGTTTACGCTGTTTATGTAGTTCCTGTATTGTTTGGGATATCTGCAGGAGGAAGCTCATGTGGTCAGGAGCCGACTAGTAGTCGCATATGAGTATAAGTAGCGAGTTCTCGGCATACAATTGTTACAGAACAATTAAATACAGTGGACCTCAGATATATCTTCAACCACAACCTGAACTCATCAATCTACATACTCGTACAAGGTCAGCATGCATAGTGATACTAACCTAAGCTCATAACCACAATAGGTTATGAGCCTGGGCAATTCCGCTGCGCCAAAATCACGCCAGCACGTACAAGTATTAAACAACTATGGCAAAAGACGACAACAAGATCATTCTTCAGCTGGGATTTTCATCTACAAAGTACAAGACAAGTCTCCAGGCAAAGCTCGCACCACGCAATGTTTTGGGACACGTATTCCCCAACATGCCTGGACTACAACCAGTGCACGCCCCTGTCGACGCTAATTCTAGTAATACGAGCCCCGAAGAGCACCAGCAAAATTTTAGTTTTCATCAAGAATCTAAAATCGACATCCTCGCGCCTTCAATCTTTTTGACAATTTACTTGCAAATATTTTTTACCTAACCCTAACCTTTTTGTCTACAAGACTTAAACGTTCGACAATTTAACAATGTCTTCCTCGAGAGTCACCCCAGTCTTCGTCCAACCCTCTATTGGTAAAGAAGATGGGTTCACCAATGCCACCAACATTGATGAAATTGTTAAGTTTTGCTGTCCCAGATTCTTTGCACCAGGAATGAAAATATTGCTAAAAGAAGTTTACTCTACAGAAGTTCGACGCCTCAACGTTGCAGCCTCTGTCGAAATGCTCAGCAATCATTTGACAGCGGGGACATATCCTCCCAAATTCAAGGGTCCATCAAACCCCCAAAGATTCAATTCTCCATGATTTTCATTAACAGCGGCGACCATCAAGTCCATACAGCAGGACTCGACACCATCGTTAATGAAGCCCGAGGGTCCGCACATACCCACCTCATCATGATGAAAAAACTATAGCTGGAGATGTACACAACCTCGCTGACACCCAACAATCTTGGACCAAGACTCGACGAAATGGTCAATAAAACATTCGAGTCACTTCACTACAATCCCGACCAACCATGTGCAAGCTACCTAAAAACAGACAAGGAGAAAACATTGAAGTACGGATTGGCCATGTGCAAACAGGCTGCAATACTTGCCAGTGAAGAACAATTGGCAGAAAACGCTAGGAAAAAGCGTAAGCTCCAACACAAGGTTGATTCAGACGTGACTATGACTGATTCTAGTCCGTCTGACATGGCGAAAACCATTCGTGAAGAAGTGGAGAACGCCTTGGAAAAAGTCCTCCCTAAAAATATGAAACAAATCACAGGTACTTCAATGATTCCCTCCCGAGAGACATTGCTAATACCAAATAGTGGCCAAACCCCGCGAGGGCCCCAAACTGAAAACTCAGAGTCACAAGGTGAAAAAGACTATCGAGAAAAAGGAAAGCTGAATGGGAAGAAGAAACCAGTGCGGAAGTAACCAAACTATTAGATGTAGCACACGGGACTAGTTTCAATCCAAAGTGTTTTTCTTCATACTCAGAAGCATTCTTCACAAGTTCAGATCATGTAAAAACACGATTCAGTATACTCACAGGAACCACACTATTTGTTGATAGCCTTAGGGCTCAACAGATTTGTGTTTTCATGGTTCCAGGTGTAAAATTACCTCGTAGGTTTATGCAAATGCTGAGTTTAAATGGAAATTTTATTTTACACATGCAAATGAATCCTAAATTTGTTGAAAATGCAATGACACAACTGTATTGCTCGATAAGAATCAGATGGCTCTTTCGAGATAAGTCAGACAATCCATACTACATACCAAAATTTCATGTTAAAACCCCAGGATGGGAACCCCCACGAGCCAATTCAAGGATAGAGAAAGCAATTGATGCTGTTAAAGAGTCATTCCGCAAGCAAACTCCGCAACTGCCACAATCAGCACATCTCAGAAATCCAGAGATTAAAAGTCTCTGGGATTTTTTACGAGATGAATCATACCTCGTTAAAATAACCATTAAGAATCTAGGCCTGGCCGTGGTCACAAAATCTTGGTATTGTAATGAAATAACAACCCATCTATCTAATACCAATGCATATCAGTTGTTAGTGGGCCTTGTTCCTCTCCATGACATTAATATGAAATTCAAATCAATCCTCAGAAACCATGTTTTTTCCACTGTGATTAGAAAATATCTCAATGAAACGACCACTGAATTACCGCGATTCCACGTTATTCCTAATATACATAAGATACCGTGTTCTTCGAGACCGATAATTTAAAGTCACAGTTGGATAACTTCAAGGGCTTCTGAGGTGGTTGATTATTTCATCCAACCTTATCTAAAGAATTATCTGTTTGTACTTCATTGTACTAAAAGTTTTCATGCAGGATTAAGAAAGGTTGCATCTGAGATGCATTCCCTCGAAGGTTGTATACTTGCCTCCGGCTACGTGAAAGCAATGTATACAAACATAGACCCATGCAAAGCATTAGAATTGGCAAAAGTAGCCATCAGTGCCTGCGATCGAAAAGGGAACAGTACCAAAGGAATTAAAAAATTGCTAGAACTCATTCTTGTTGTAATTAAGGCAGCAACATGACTGCAGTAGACAAATAGTACATATTAGAATAATATGCACTGGCGCCATAAGATATGATTAACCCATATCATCACTCACTGGCATGAATAGTAGTTAGCCAATAGATGCCTGACAGCATACATTGGCTTCAGGATCTCCAACAACCTTCCCGTTTAGGTTAGATTAGGAAGTATGTTGGAGTTCACACTAGTGTGCGGAAAACCCCGCTTTCATGTATATAGAGGGACTTCTTGCCACACATATAGAATTATAGCAATTTCTTTACAATTAACTATCCATTAAACATCAGTAGACTTCGTCGTACATTAAACAAACTCATCATAACTCTAATTTATCCTCATACTTGGTATGTCATTCTTACAATTTCCGGAACCATTCTAATTGGTTATGAGCCCGGGTTTGCACCATCTTCTGTTGTCAGAAAATCTACACAATGTCAACCACCGCTACTGTCAGCATCGGAAATCAAAAGGCCACCTTACCTATTCTTGTTGGACAGTCAAATTTTAGAAGATGGTATAAGGCTTGGCACATTGCTCTCCGAGGGGCAAAGCTATGGTCAGTAGTTTGCGACGATGATAAGAAAGAATTACTTCCAGTCCGAGGTGATAAAGAGGATGAAGATAAGTTCAACATACGTCTCGAACACTACAATGATAGAAATGATTCTGCCCATTCTGCTCTTCTGGTCGGAGTATCGGAAGATCTCCAAGAGCTTGTGTGTTCTTGCGACAAGGAACCTGAGTCAGCACGAGTTGCAATGCGACTTCTAAAAGAAAAATATGACTACAAAACAACGACCTCCACCATCCAACTATTCAAGGAGTTCAGTGAATTGAAAATGGTTGACGGAGAGTCAATCTCTCAACATATTTCTCAATTTGAAACCGCCTACGCCCACATATACTCACGCTGCTCAAATTCCTCCCGACCAGAAGCAGTTGCGTTAAGAAGTTTCCTTACCGTTGAGCAAGTCAAAGTCATGTACCTGTTCCTCTCACTTCCTGCATCATTCAATAACATCATTGACAATCTTTCAACCAAGTAGGAATTGAAATTTGCTGATGTAAACAGACGGTTGCTTGATCTAAACTCGATCAAGCCTATTGATGTTCCCCATCTGTCAAAGGCCTACTTTGGAAATCAAAATTTTATCAATGAGGAAAGAAATGTTGAATGTACTTATTGCAAAAAGCATGGGGGAAACTATAAAGGGCATGTCTTCAATAAATGTCGAAAGCTAAAGGAACAGCTTGCAGAAAGACCCATCAAAAAGGAAAAATTTATACCAAATAAGTACAATAAAGCTAACGCAGCTGTTGTGCCGGATGAAGATTTAGATGATGTTATCTTATCCACGCCACGCTTTAAAGCTTTCGCAACTTCGTGTACAAATTCGTCTTCTTTCTGGATTCTTGATTCTGGGTGCTCGGCCCACATGACATCACGCAAGGATCTTCTTACGTCCCTCCAACCCTTTAATGGGTTTGTTACAATTGCAAATGGGCGCGACATACCTGTTGTTGGAAAAGGTAATGTCGAATTTAACTTACGAATAACTACTGGGGAAATTATCTCAGTGAAAATTAAAAATGTATTATATGTTCCAGAATTGAAGGGCGGGAACCTTATTTCTGAAACTCAACTGGAGTTGGAAGGGCATGAATTTAAATCAAAAAATGGTCGGCGTCGGGTATTTTTTAATGATAAAGAATGGATGTTGGCAATTCTTGATTCTTCAAAACAATTTAGAGTTCAGGAGAATTTAATCAAAACTTTTTTTACCTCTTACCTTGAAGCACATGAATGCTTTGGCCATCCAGGAGAAACTGTTATGTCTAACTTGAAAAAGCAATATCCTGAAAATATCCCAAACAAACCTGATGGATTTCACTGCCCAGCATGCACTCTTGCAAAGTCTACGCATAAATCCGAAGACACCAAACCACGAAAATCAATAAAATCATTCCAAATAATACATTCTGATCTTTCAGGTAAATTTTCCGTAGACTCACTCGGAGGAAAAAGGTATTACATTACATTCATTGACAATTACTCAAGATACGCTTGGATATCATTTCTTCGTGATAAAAACCAAGCACATCAAGCAATCAGTGACTTTGTAATAAGAATACAAAACCAACACAATCTTACTATCAAAACATTCTTTTCAGATAATGGAGGAGAATATATTGATACAAGAGTACAGAAATTCTTTACAGACAATGGTATCAATCATGAAAATTCGCCTCCATACAAACACGAATCTAATGGTACGGCCGAAAGATTCAATCGAACAATTGTCACCAAAGCCAGAGCAATGATTCTTAATCATCCAAAATTTCTCTGGGCAGAGGCAATTGCCACCTCGGTATATTTATATAACCGAACGCCTCACCGAACAATTGACTTTAAGTCACCATTCGAGTTATTAAATGGGGCTTTACCTCCATCAATAACACACCTTCACGCCTTTGGTACAAAAGTCTACATTCACATACCAGCTGAAACCAGACCGAGCGGTTCTAAGCTCCACCCAAGAGCGCTAGAAGGTATATTCGTAGGTTACACAAACTCGTCTAATATATTCCGAATTTACGTACCAAGTAAAAGAGTTGTTCAAATCACTCGACAAGTGAAATTCTTGGCCTCAAAGCCAGGGGAAGTTACCGTCGAATTTTCACAACCAATGTTACCATCAGACATTCCTTCTTTCAATGCTGAAGCGACACCTGCTTCAAGTCCAATTCATACTCGCCCTTCATCACCGACTTCAAAAATTATGCCTGGAAATTTCATTCAGACTCCTCGAGCTCAACCACAACCACAACCGCTGCCTTCCACTCCATTCCCAGCCTCGATAAATTCGACCACTCCTAACGCTCCGAAAAAGCCACATGAGAACTTCATACTATTAGGTGTGCCTCCTATTCCATCAATTAACTTGGAAACAGAAGAATCATTTAATAGTGACAAATCTCATAACGACTTACCTCGCAGAAGCACTAGAGAAAAGCGTCAAACTGATCCTGGCCCGGGTATGGTACCCAATACTCAAAGGTATCAAGCAAATGCGGTTATGTTTGAGCCAACAACATATAAGCAGGCTATGAAATCGGACGATAAAGAATTGTGGAGGAGAGCCATTGAAGAAGAAATGGATGCACTCAACAGAAACGATACCTGGACAGTTGTGCCTCGACCCAACGATCGTAATGTGGTAGGATCTAAATGGGTGTTTAAAATCAAGCACAAAGCCGATGGTTCCATCGAACGTTACAAAGCTCGTCTCGTTGCTAAAGGGTTCTCTCAGCAACCTGGTACAGATTTCGATGACACATATGCTCCTGTCGCTCGATACAATTCATTGCGCCTTTTACTTGCCTTAGCATCCCATGAAAGATGGAAACCAAGGCAACTTGATGTAAAATCTGCCTTCTTGTACGGAAAACTAGATCGGGAGATATACATGGAAATTCCTGAAGGGTTTAAGGAATCTGGTAAATGTTATCTTCTACGAAAGTCAATCTACGGGTTAAAGCAATCCCCTCTTGTATGGTATGATACATTATCAAGCGTCCTAAATAAAGGTGGATTTGCTTCAACTAATTTCGACCCATGCATCTTCACAAATTTCGAAAAACAAATCTTTCTCGCAATTTACGTTGATGACATTCTGATCTTCGGTCCAAATAACAGTACGATAAATGAGCTAGAGAAAACTCTGCATTCGACATTTGAATGTACGAATTTAGGCATTGCTCACTATATACTCGGAATTCAGGTCGATATCACAAACCAAGGCATATCGTTAAGCCAAAGGGCGTACATCATTAAAATTCTACAAAGATTCGGAATGCAGGACTGTCACCCTGTTGGTACACCTCTCGAACCTGGTATCCAACTTCGAAAAGGTCAACCAGAGGAAAAATTAGATGACCCTACCATTTATCAATCTATAATAGGTTCCTTAATGTACGCCTGTATTGGTACGCGACCTGACCTTGCACATACGGTTACACTACTCTCCCAGTTCTCTTCGCGTCCCAACCAATTCCATCTAGCAGCAGCAAAAAGGGTACTTCGTTATCTAAAAGGCACAGCTGACTGGACACTTAACTTTCCACAAGCTAACGATTCTATTCTTCACGGATTCTCCAATTCTTCTTATGGTAACTTTATTGATGATCGAAAATCTTGTTCTGGATATATCTTTCGGCTAGGGGAAGCAAGTGTCAGCTGGAGCTCCAAGAAACAAAGGACAACCGCACTCTCGACAACAGAGGCCGAATATATGGCCATGTCAGATGCATCTCGTCAAATGATTTGGATGCAAAATGCCTTAAGAGAACTCAAACTCTGCTACGATTCAATATTACATGTGGACTCAAATGGAGCAATCCATCTGGCTAAAAATCAGAAAGTATCCCAACGTTCAAAACATATTGATATAAGATTTCATTTTTTACGAGAACATATTGATAATACTTTTAACTTGGTATACGTGGCTTCTGAGAATAATTTAGCAGATATATTGACTAAACAATTGGCTAAACCGAACCATCAAAGAATCTCGGCTATAGTACGTTGCAGTCCTGAGGGGAAGTGTTGTAATTAAGGCAGCAACATGACTGCAGTAGACAAATAGTACATATTAGAATAATATGCACTGGCGCCAT